AAAAAAAAAAAAAAAAAAAGACTGAGGAAGGAGCATTGTAAGTTTGAAGCAAGTCTGGGCTACACAGGGAGACCTTGTCTCAAAAAGGAAAACAAAGCAAAAACAAAACAGAGCTTAACTTCCAAATCGCATGTATTGAGTAGTGGGTCTTCATTTAGACCTTTGAGTTTATTTTGGTAATTACACAAAATAGTTCAGCTATTCAAAGGGCATTCATCTTTATCAAAGACTTATGCTATGGGAGAGAATGTAAAATTTGCAACTTGGAAGTACTTTTTGTTCCTTGACTATTACATGTTTGCTTATGATAACCCAGAAGTTTATGTCTATCCAAATGTTTTTCTTAAAATTTTATGGTTTCCCCCTTATACGTATCAATTATTTTGTGATGACTATTGTAATCATTACTAATTTTAATTTCAAATAATGACAGGCAGTAGATGATGATTATTAATCTTTTGCTAATTTTATTATACTATATAGATCTGTACTTCTTGTGATTCAAGAAACATCAAAATTCTATTTTAAATTTGTTCTTAAAAATATACAATATTGCACTTTAATTCTTGGCAGTTTAATTAAGGAGTAATTGAGTATAAAAATCATACAAGAAACTACAGTTTTTACTTTGCTTTATAATAAACAAAAGGCTTTTTGTAAAAGCAGGACTTACAGTAGTGGCAAACAAAACAAATATTTACAGTGTAGATATTACGATCTTATCTCTAAAGAAAGATTCAGTGTACTGGACATAAATATTGTTAATAAAACAAAAGCAACCACTGAACTCATGCTGCTGACCATTTTTAAGCCAAAGGGGACTGGTGAGAAATGCTTCTGTAATTTCTTTCTCAAATACATGGAAGGGAAGCTTGTTCTTAGAGCATCTAAACTGGTCACCAGACTCTCAAAATACTGTTTCCTCTGACTGGAAAAAACTGCCACTTTAAGAATCAGAATTCCAAGTTATGCATTCTTTTATAGTTTTTCAGTAGCTACTCTCTTTTTACCATTACAAATGCACAACTAACTGATACGTTATGATTCTGAGGTCAGTTTCCAATACTTATCTAAGACACATTAACGATACTGAGAGTCTGGGGGGTATACAGCCCAGTGATATAGTGCACGCCTTGCATACACAGGCCCTGGGTTTCATCTCTAGCACTACCAAAAAAAAGTTACAGCATAGTTAAATTATATACATTTACACTGACTCAGATTTGTTATTTTACTTTTTAATTGCCAACTAGGCAAATAATCTAGAAAGCATTTTTAATTTTTTAAAATTTAACCAATTAGGAAGACAGTTTTGAAGTAGCCATTTGCAAAAACAAATATTAAGATATAGACTTATCTAACAGTATATTAAACATTGAAAGACCAAAAGGAACATAAATAGGACATATTTATGATATAAATATGACACGGACACACTCATTTTTTTGCACCACCTTAAAAAATATCCAGCAGTACTTTATTACCCTTCAAATCTTTGGGAGTTCTTAAAATTTCTAAGCACTAATTTTTTTCTTCTCCAGAAGAAAAAGATTCACAAATTTTAACTGGTATTTCAAAAACAAATAATTTCCTCTTGTTATTTCTTACATTATCTGCTAAATGGTTATTCAGTGTTAATTAGCAGCTAATCTATTAATTATGCTCTTACATTTTAATTCTACCAAAACCCAATTACTTAAAACAGTGATTTATCATGGAAAGATATGGCTGCTTCTTCAACAACCATGTACCAATTGCATAGTTCTGGTATGATAAAAGTCATAGTAGAGTTACAAAGGTATTAGTATGTGTCAACTGAAATAGACTTAAAAAAACAGTCTATCTTGGGTATGTTAGTGTAAACTTAAGAGGGAAAAAACAGTCAATAGCAAGAAAGTTTTCTTTAAAAAATAGGTTAATATGAAGAATAGCTTTTAAATTTTGTTTAAAAATAAGCTCAATAAACAAGAATACAAATTTTAATTCAAAACTTAGCTACTTGAAATGCCCTATCTTCTTGCATACAGCAGAAAATACGTTTTTCATAGTTTTCAACATTACTTGTAAAAATGAGGCACTGTTAAACATATTTGAATATATTCACACAAACAGAGGCATTCCACTCCCATTTGTAGGCTTGTATTTGCTGGACAGTTTCCGAATGGCAAACTTCACAAAAATAAGTCTTCTGAAGGAGGAGCGTAAGAGAAACCAACGAACGCATCATCTGCCTCCAGTACACTGGCGTTCACTATAGAATAGTCAGAAGACACGCACACAGAATACGGAACTGTTTCCTCTGTAAATACTGTGTCAAAGTTCCTGATATCATCTGGTCCAGCCTAAAACGTTAAAAACATAGTATTATTCACCTTGGCATTTCTTTTATTAACTTAGTTCTTTGTTAAATCTTCCTTTTGACTTTGTCTATTTTTTTTCCTAGCAAGTTTAAACTTTTGGGGGCTTCATTTTCATGTTTTTCCTTTCCAGAGTTTTTTTAGGTGAGGTTATCTGTCTGAACAGCTAAGGTTCTCATTATTGGGTAGGGAGACGGTGGTTTTGTATAAGGAGGGGAAGCATACCAGAATCTTTATTGAAGCTAACTTGAATCTGAGACCCTGTAACTGACTCCCTTTCTCTCTACCTACCACCACTCACCACCCCTATGTGCAAAAACAGGGCTCAGGATGGTTTTCAGGATAGCATTTTACTTCTGAACTTCCACAAATGCCTGTCCATCTTCTGGACAGGTAAAGCCTTCCAATGGAGGAATGAAGGGGCTGTAAGTAAAACTGAAAGCACACTGTGATTCTTAGTGTGCTACAGTTAAGTCTTAAGTCATGAAACATTTGGCTAGAACATCCTTGGCTGGAGGGCCTTAGAGGACTGGGTACATGGGAAATGGAGTAAGGTGGCTGGTTAGGCGCAAAGGCAGTCGTTCTTATTCTTCCTCTGTGAATGTGATGCACGCTCACAGACCTTCTTCTCTGAATATATTTATAGATAAAAAGTGGGATACAAATTCAGGTCATTCATTTGTAAACTACTGAACCTGTAGTTATTTCTGCTTTACGTGGAGGGAATCCTTAAAATGTGTGACCAAGTCATGAAGTCTAACTAAGGTGGACAGACAGATTCAGAACAGACAAGCCAGGGCTATCAGGTAGCCTGTATATCTACAAATTAAGCAGAGACCAGAACCCATAATGCTAGATTCTTCTATATAAGAAAATTTCCCACAGAGGACAAAGAATTCTAGAAATTTTAGCATTAAAGAATTGTAGCACTACAAGAAATTTAATAAAAAATTTTTTCAGGATTAGGGGTGTAGCTCAGTTGGCACAGTGCTTCCTGGCATGCACAAGGCCCTGGACTGAATCCCTAGAATCACAAAAAAAAAAAGAAAAGGAAATATTCTTTAAAAAATTTTTACATATTGGAGGTGTGGCTTAAGTGGTGGAGTGACTGCTGTTCAGGTGCAAAGCCCTGAGTTCAAACCCTGGCCCCATCAGAAAAAAAAAAATTACATATAATCCTAAAAGCATGGGCTTCTGAATTTTGGCTGTAAAGTTTGTTAGCTATAATTCTTTATATAAACTACTTTATCTCTACAGGCTTGTTTCCTCTTCTGTAAAATAAGAATATAGGTTCAACATCTCTAGCCCAAAATAAAAAATCTGAAACGCTAAAAATCTACAATTTTTGAACCACAAGTGGAAAATTCCACCGCTAACCCTCATGTGATGAGTTATAGTTATAACTCAGGTGCACTAACATTTTTATCTAAAGTTACCTGCAGGCTAAGTGTATAAGGTGTGTGTGGAACACAAATGAATTTTGTTTTTCGACTTGGGTCCCAACCATAAGATAGTTCAGATTTCAGGTAAGGTAGACTCAACATCTACAAACTCTAGAAATTATTCCCAACAGAGGGAGCCATTTCTGACACTATCACTTCTGAACTACATGAAGTAAGTCTATAAAACTGTTATGTCTGTAGTTGTAAAATGTTACACCTCTTAATAACAGCTATGAGCTATGCACAGAAACTAACCTGTAACAAAGCTCGAGTAGACTAAATAATACTACTTTCTTGAATAAGGAAAAGTGATTTCCTTATCCTGCTCTAAGTTAAAAAAGTATTCCTTAAGTTTCACAGCAACACCAAAAAACTTTAAAAGAAAAAAAAATTCACCCATGAACTTGAAACTCAAATCAATCTTGTTCACAGTCATAGGTCACAAAAAAAGTATAATTACCATATTTTTCATTTAACACTCTATTTCAATTTCAATTCCTTCTACTTCAATTTTGGCTCTGGTGCTCTTTGTCCCATTATGTGACATGTCTGAACATCCATTTCCTCATTTATAAGGCAAATATACTAATAAGAATGTTAGTAAGTTGATAGCTTACTTAAGGAGTAAATTATGCATTATAGCCATCTATAAAGTGCATATACCTATTCAAAGGAAGATACCAGTAATTACTAAACATCACTGGCCTACTGATGACTATTATTATATGATTTCCAGAATTTTACAAAACTGTCAATTTTTAAAAACACATCTTTAACACAGCTTTTTCCTTAAAAATATTATCTTTAGATGAAACGCTTCCATCATTAGATTTAACTAGTGTCACTAATATGAGCCCCTTCTTTTTTTTCCTGGTGGTACAGGGTAATGCACGTGCCACGTGAGCCATGCCTCTGGGCCTTTTCGCTTGAGGTGTTTTTTGAATAGGGTCTGGCATTTATGCTCCTGTTGGCCTGGACCACTAACCTTCTATTTGTTTCCTGTAGCTGGGATGACAGGTATGCACTGCTATTGACTGAGATGGGGTCTCACATTTTGCCCAGGTTGTCCCCAGAGTACAGCCCTCCCTATCTCCACCTACTGAGTAGCGAGGACTCGGGCATGAGCCTCCATGCCCAGCATGAAATGTTCTTTTAAGCACTTACTGTTTTCCAGAAAATATGGAATAATTCACCATTAAAAATGTTTGCTTGTACCTGGGTTTTTTATTAATCTAGGGAAAAACCATCATTAGTGTTAATTTAAATGTTTGTTGATTTATAATGTATGAAAATGACAGCTAATCGTTTGTATCCTTTTACTTACTGAGTTCATCCCTTTCTTCTGTATACTCTGAAGAAACTCTACAATTATTTTGCTGGGAGATACTTTCATCAACCTAGTCTAACATAGTACTATTGGCCACCTTGAAGCTTGGGTTTTTTCTTTTTCTTTTTTGTGGTGCTGGGATTGAACCCAGGGCCTCAAGCATCTAGACAAGGGCTTTACCACTGAGCTACATCCCTGCCCCTCTTGAAGTTACCAGATGTATTAGACAACCCTGAGTGATGTATTTTACGCATACTTAGGTACCAAATCTGTTTTGTTGAGATTAGGTTTTGAGGTCTATTTCCAAGGTTATGATGAACTAGGGTTCCAGAACTAGGGTTCTGGAAAGGAAGATTTGGGTACATACCACATTAGGATTAAATGGTGGTGGTATCTTCTTCTGCACAAGGTCACTCCAGCTGAGTGATTCAAAAAAAGGATGATTCTGAATTTCAAGCTAGAATATTAAACAAAGAGTTGTGTTACTCATGATGAAGAATACATTAAGTACTCACTGGAGAATTTTATGAGCTCACATCGTTACCAGTTTGCCCCTCAGTAATTCATTCAGGCACAGTTTATATCATTCATAAAGGAAATGTGAGATAAACTTAAACTTAAGCTGCATCCTTTTCACAGACAGTTTCCTCACAGGCAAAATGGGGTTAACACGCCTGTCCTAAATCTTTCCTGGGTGTTTAAAGGATAAACGTCCTTGTTCATTCTGTTATGTGACATGCCTCAGCTTCTACTTTCTCATCTATAAAACAAATATACTAGTAAGGACAGTAATAGTAGTAAGTTGAGAGCTCATTTGAGTAGTAGATGATATTACAGATACATAAAAACATAACTACACAAAAAAACTATCTGTAGTTACTAACAATATGGAAGTCCACACAGGTACAAAGAATTATTACCCGAGAAGAACAATTTGGACAAGGAGTTCTACACAGTGGGGCAGAACTGAAAATCAAGATAATGAGCTCCATCACCAGAAAAAATTATTCTACTCTGGGTTGGCACCATCAAAAATTGTCACAGTACTGATTCTAGCTTTATTCCTGCAAGGTGTCATGGAATGCAACAAAAGTAGATCTATCACAGTCAAACAAAAGTAATGTCTGACCAAAAGTCTGAAAGATGTGTAAAAATTAGCCAGTCAAAAAAGTAAAGGGAGAAAGTTCCAGGTAAAGAACAGGAAAGTCATAAGGTGACAAAGAGGTTAGTTTGATCAAGAAAATGGGAGTTGATGCTGGCAGAGTGGCTCAAAAAAAATGAGGGCATGGTGGTGCACACCTGTAATCCTAGCCCTCAGGAGGCTGAGACAGGAGGATAAAAAACTTTGAGGCCAAACTGGGCTATGTAGCAAGACCACAGTATGTGTGGGAGAGGGGGAAGGGAGGAAGGAAGGGGAGGACACACATAGGATGGGACTGAAATATAAGATGGAGCTTGAGAGTTTAATGGGGTGTAATGTATTGAATCTACATTAAGAATTCAGGGTTACAAAAGACTGTTACTCCAGAGGCACCTGCACATCCATGTTTATTGCGGCACTATTCACAATAGCCAAGTTATGGAAACAGCCAAGATGCCCCAG